ATTAATTGAGGTTGCTTTTTAAATTGATGTATGACTTTTGTTTCTTACTATTTGTTACTTTTCTTCGTTTCTTCATTTCTTAGTTTAGTTTATACCAGGACTGACTGATTACACTAAGTTCTAATTAATTGAGGTTGCTTTTTAAATTGATGTATGACTTTTGTTTCTTACTATTTGTTACATTTTTTCAGTTTCATTATACCGTTATACCATGAATGACTCATGAAACTAATTTTTTATCCTTCGAGGCTGTTTTTTTTAACTGATGTTTATTTAATGTTTGATTCGCTTTGCATTTGTTTCTTTTTAAGTTTTGTGGAATTACGAGGAGTTACTGATCGGACTGTGCTCTAATCATTTTATTTTAGTTTTAAATTAATGTACTTCTCACTAATTATTTCTTCATTTCTCAGTTTCATTAAATACCACAAGTGACTAATCAGACTGAGCTCTTATTTGCGGCAGGTTGGAAAATGTTTCATGTACTTTTGACTTTTAACTATTGATTTTGTTTCTATCTTCCTCTTTTTTTACACAGTAGTTATACCCAGACTGACCGAGTTATCATTTTATGTTTTTTTTTAATAATATTAACTTTACATTTGTTTCCTCTTGTTTCAGTTTCATAGTATTGTGTATACCTAAAGTGACTTATCGTTTTATCATTTGAGCTTTGCTTTCAGATGTTTAAAAATATCCTTTTGACTTCTCACTGCTTGTTACATCTTTCAGTTTAATACTATAGTTTTTACCATGAAGGCCTGATCTAAGCATAGATATTAGAGTAAATGAAAGGGATAGGAAACTAGAAAAAGGCGGGATAATAATTGCATTCCTTGGTATTGTGCCATAGCAGCGGATGCTACTTTCCCTAGGTACACAGCAAGACAGCAACTTTACTTTTCAGCTTACAGTTCGCTTATAATAGTAAATGGGACCTAGTAAAAGAGTTTTAAAACAAATGCTACAAAACTATGCCATCTTGATGTAGTGAAACACAAGCTCTTCTATTACAGCTTTATATGAAAGTACTACTTTCCTCTTTGGTCCCCATTATCTCAAAAGCAAAATTATAAATGGAAGATTTAAAGCAAACACCTGTTGAGGAATTCAATTCTTTGGATTATGCAGCTTAAATCACTCCTAAAGCATGTGTTTTTGGTATTTTATGCTCAAAAACGAGTAAATTTGCCATGTTCAGTCTCATACTGTTATCTCACTGCTCGAACCAGTAACGACTAAAAAACTTCAGATACAGAATGTAGATGAGTTATTTAGGGCCTTACCCATTATCTACACTTTGCGAAGTCGCTCCTGGTATATACTGTACCATGAAACTGAAAGGATGATGTAAATAGGGAGTAGTACGTGACATCTTTTTAAAAATAACCACAAAAATGAGAATTTAGTTAGATCAGTCACTACTGGTATAAAGTATACCATAAATTTGAGAAAATAAGAGACAAAATAGTTTTAAGTCAGTGGAAAATAATTTTTTATAACCAACATCACATAATAAGAACTGAATCACATCAGTTACTTGTCGTAAAAATGATACTATGGGTTCTGAGAAAAGAAATTAATGATAAAACTATCAGTCACTTTAGATATACACCATACCATGAAACTTGAACAAGATTCTAGAAACAAATGTGAAGGCAGTGGAAGATAAAACATTGTTTCAAAAATATCTGAAACGACAATAACGCTGTCAATGCAACCATAAACTACACCATAAAACTGACCAAAGAAGAAAGATATACTTAGAAATCAAAAGAACATGAAATATAAATTTGTGACCTAGGTCAAACGATAAGAACTCAAAACTGATGTGTCAGTCCTAGTATAATTACTACACTATAAAACTAAAAAGAAGAAACAAGAAGCGATAGACCATGAACCATTGTTTTGAATACTGACCTCAAGTGGTAATAGCTCAGTTGGATCAATCACTCCTTTTACTAAAACATAAACTATGAAACTGAGAAAAGTAAGAGTACATGGCAAATCAATTTAAAACCAACTTATAATAACTAGAACTTGGTCCAATCTGTTAGTCCTGATATTAAACTATACCATTAGACTGAAAAAAAGCATAAGGAAATAGTGATAAGTCAAAAGTACATGAAAAAATTTTAAAATGAAGGTCGTACCATAAAAAGATCAGGTACGCAGCATACTATGAAACCAGGAAAAGAACGAAAGAAAACATTAAAAATTAAGTAGAACAATAGAAATAATTTCAAAAAAAACTTGGAACTTGGTCCGCTGAGTTACTCCTACTGAAAGCTATACCATTTAACTGAGAAAAAAAAGGAAACAAATTTGAAGTAAGCAGAACATAAAACATTATTTCAAAATAAAACCGAACATAATAAGAACTCAGTCTAGGTTTTACTACACCATGGAACTAAGAAAAGTTGAAACAATGGTCAGAAGTAGAACATTAAACATTTCAAAAGAAAGTCAAAATGATTCAAACTTGGTCAGTTACTCCTGGAGTCAGCAACCTACTATCACACACATTTTATATTCTATGACGTTTCCACAGTTGAGTGATCAGAAGACGCTGAATATATTTTACGTAGTGGCTAGTTTTACGGTCCCATAATCTGATTGTATACAGCTATAATTCATTTCTATATTTTCTGCCGTATAAACGGCTATTTTTATGGCAGGAAATATAGAAATGAAGTATAGAAATGACGTATAAATATGACAATCAGCTTCAATGAGGCAGCAGGATTGTGGTGGCACAGTGGGGAAGGCGCTGGGTTGGATACGGACGGGCACTGGTTTGAATGCAGCTCAGACCATTTCATTCTTTTTTTTAATAATTTTGACTCTAACAAATTGATTTTTTTATCTTCCTACTTCGCTATGTTCCCTAATTATGTTAGGAGCCCTAGTTATGTTAGGAGTCCCCTAATTAGCTATTGTTTTTAGGGTTTAGGAGTTAGGGTGGCGGTTTTTTAGAGTGTCCTTAGTCATTCTATGAGCCCCCTAGTTAGGAGTCCCCAAGGTTGGTTTAGTTTTATTAATTTTGGTGTTTTCCAGGTTATAAAATGAGTACATCACCCTGCCGTAAAAATAGCCACCCACAGTGGGATTACGTGCCCGTAAAAATAGCCACTGCCTATATTTTATCTTGTAGATCAGATATTCCACACAGCTGTAGCAACTATTATTGACATCCCTTTTTGCTGTTTTGCTAAATTTTTTTTCTAGAAATTTTTAACTCGTGCAAGACACCACGTACTGTTGTTTTCCTTTTCATTTCTATAATGAAGTAGCGCTCGAAAACAATCCATCATATTTGTAAGAAAGCTCCATCTCTCTGCTCCACCATGCACTATTCAGTTAAAAGAAATAGCTAGTCTTCACTGCGCTAGAGTTGATTTTTTGCAAGAACACACCTCCATATTTTATCAAATTTTACATTTTTGATTTTTTCGGAAAATTTAATTTTGGAAATATTAAAAATTTTATTTCTCCACTCCACATGGCTTGTAAAAGAAAATTAAGAATTGAAAAAATTGATTGCATGCAGATGTGTGCATTCTCTCTCAGATATTGAACTCGAGTGCAGTAAAAACTAGCCTTGCTTTTAACTGCATAGTGCATTGTGAAGCAGAAAGACGGCTTTCTTATGAATATGATGGGTTGTTTGCAAGGTACTTCATTACTGAACTGATATAGGAAAATGACAGTACATGGTGTCTGTGCTAACTTGCATGTGTTCAAAATTTCTAAAAAATTATTATAAAAACAAAGCAAAGACGGATCTCTGTCAAAGTTGCTACAGCTGCAATGGAACATCTGATCTACAAGATAAAATTATATTCACTAGCTTCTGATCACTCATCTGTGAGAAAAAGTTCCAATATCAATGGTGTGCAATAGTAGGTAGCTGACTCTATCATGAAACAGAAAAAAATCACAAAAGTAAAAGTAGATGAGACATATGATAAACGATTGGTCACATTAGGTATACAGCATACTCTGAAACTGGGAAAAAGAGGAAAAAATAGTAAAAATTAAGTAGAAAATTAAAAATCATTACAAAAATTGATTAAAAATGATTAGAACTCGGTCTGATGAGTTACTCCTGCATAAACTCTACCATAAAACTGAGAAACAAATGTGAAGTAGGTGGAACATGAAACATTACTTTTTAAAAACCTGACATAATAACTCATGCAGTCTGGGTACAAACTAAACCATAAAAATAAGAAATGTGTATCATGTACTGAAAAGTAGAACATAAAGCACCATTTCTAAAACCAGCTAAAAGGATTAAAACTCGGTCAGATCAGATACTCCTCACATAAAATATACCATAAAATTGAGAAAGAAACAAAAAAGGTGTTTCAACATTAAACATCAGTTTAAAAACCAACCACAGATGATAAAAACTCAGTCCAGGTAATAAACTACACCATGTAATGAACAAAAAAGAAACAATATGAAATGTTGAAAGTATATAAAAAATAACGAAGCTCACATGATGAAACTATCACTGACTTTAGGTCATTCTATGAAACTGGAAAAAGAGGTAATTGTGAAGGCAGTGGAAAATAACCTTCTTTTCAAAAACCTAAAAAAGTATTAATTCAGTTTGTCGAGCTATAAACTATACCATAAAACTGAGAAAAGAAGAAACAAATAAAATGTGAGCTGATCAGTTCAAAAACCAACCTCAAACTACAACAAAGTCAGTGTGATTAGTCAATTTTGTTATAAACTGTGCCATAAAACTGAGAAACTGAAAACAAGAACTAACAAATAGTGACAAGTCTTCCTAAAAGTATTTTAAACATTACTTTTAAAACGAAGTTCAAATTATAAAACAATGAGTTACATGAAGTATATACCATACTTTGGAACTGCAAAAAGAACAAGTGTAGTGTGGAACAAAAAGCATTACTTAAAAAAAAACCTAAAACGATAAAACCTGAGTCAGTCTAGGTATAAACTACACTATGAAACTGAGAAAAAAAGATAAAACAGTGAGAAGTAAAACATTAATTAGAAGTCCGTCCAATAAGTCACTCCTGGTAAAACTATACTAAGAAACTGAGAAATGAAGAAGCAAAAATGAGTGGAACAATACACATTAATTTACAAACCAACCTCAAATAATAAGAACTCATTCAGTCCAGGTATAAACTAACCATAAAACACAGAAAAGAAGAAACAAAAGAAGAAACAAATGAGAAGTGAGTAAAACATAAAACATTAGTTCAAATAACCAACCTCAAACGATTAGAACTCAGTCGGATCCGTCACTTCCAGTATCAGAAACTTTAGTATGAAACTGCAAAAAGAAGAAATATATATACTATGTCCCAACTGAGTTTGGACCAAAAAAAACTGAAAAAAACTTTCTATAGGAATATAAATTAAGAATGAGACTTTCACAGGTTCTTAGTCACCCGATGCCGCTTCAGGATCTCAGGTCTTGGTCTCTCAGCCCTTGGAAACCTTGAGAGCCGGACTCCCTATAAACGAAATGGCATACCAAAGCTAACCGCAGTGACGTTCTATGAAGTCATAGTTGAGCACCCAAACTGATAATTCTTTTAAAATGCTAATGGAGCATAACGATGGTCTTTATAAAGACTAGTTGACTCCAGGAGCTATTGTACTGCTTATCAGGAAGAACAAGACTATTTTAAGAGTGAAACAATACAGGCAAAATATCAGCCATATCTCTATTATTATCATTATGACACGTCATTAGTGACATAGCTTCATTTTTTAAATTCCAGTGCAGCTGCTTCCACTTCCGGTCCATTCTTAGTTGGGACATAGTATAGTGAAAAGTAGAACATGACACTGTTTAAAAAACCAACTTAAATCATTAGCATTATCCAATCAGTTTTTCCTGGAGGAAACTATACTATAAAACTGACAAAAAAGCAAATGAAAGCCACTATGGGCCAACTAGCCTCACTAGGCCTCAAGTCAGCCCTTGTACTAGCCAAAGTATGCATGTCAAAAGCAGCTTCAAATGTTAAGAACTCAGTATGAACTGTACTATAACACTGAAAAAAGTAACAAAAATTGACAAGTCCATAGTACGTGGTCAATTGCCATAGCAACTATCTAAACCATTTCCAAGGAAATTTTTATTAGAATTCGTGAAAATTAATCGTCCTACAGTATCTTGTTTCTCTTCATTTCTTATATCAGAAGCAACTGAAATGACCTAGTTCAATACATTTGGTTTGGTTTGGAAGTGATATTTTATGTTCTACTGACTTGTCACTAATCAGACCCAGTTTTTATCACTTAAGGTTAGTTTTAAAATAATTTTTTATGAATTACTAACTTCTTCCCACTTGGTTCTTTTATCTCAGTGATTAAGCATGGTTAAAAGTACTAGAAGCGACCTATCCGACTGAGTTTGTATCATTTGAGGTCGGAATTTGAATCAAGAGTTATGTTCTACTCAATTCTCATTGGTTTTATCTTTTCTTAGTTTTACAGTGTAGTTTATACCTGGACTGACTGATCAGGCTGAGTTCTTATGATTTGAGGCAGCTTAATACTTTATGCACTTATGACTTGTAACTATTTGTTTTGTTTCTTTTCTCAGGGTAATGGTGTAGTTTAACCTGGATTGACCGAATTCTAAAAGTCATTTAAGGTTTTTCTTTCACTTTACATTTGTTTCTTTAAATTTTAAAGCCACAAAGACTGTTTTGTAAAGAGGCATAATAAGACAAAAGGAACATCACGTTCTTCTGGAAGTATGGATTTTTCCCTTTGATGGTGTCGCATTTAAAGTTGATAGCTCAGTGGAACAGCATTGCCAGTATGGACAGTTTCATCAACACAAGGTATTTATTTAAATCCTATTATTTAAATTCAGTATTGTTCTCATTTGCACAAAGAGGAAACCTTCACAATCTATTAAGCATTCTTATGCCCAGTCTATTAGATTTCATAATCAATAATCAAGAGAAATTGGATGTAAAGCAACTCAAGTGATCAAAGAATCAACAATGTGAGTAATATATAATATCTAAAGTAATTTTTCATAGTTATATTTGATTTCCTAATTTCTCTGTTCCATTAAATCGATCAAGGGCCATGAAGGCAAAACAACTCCCTGATTTGAATACACTTTAAAAGTGGTATTGCTAAAGTCCAGAAGATGTATTTTGTGACCCTGCCATGAAAAATTAATTACTTACAAAAATTAATTGAATCTGTTCGATTACTTAATGAGAAAGTACGTAGAGAACTATTTAAATTGGTGTCACATGGTGTTACGAATGTCAAACTTCCGAAGAATTCTCTGTCAGTTTATGGCAGAGAAAAATTCACAAGATCCCGTTAAACCGCTACCAAGTGATCGAGCATACTTTCCCTTTGATAAAGATAATTACACTTAACGTTGTCCATTCCGCATTTGGTTGTGGGCAGTATCCTAAATTTGATCAATTTCAGTTGGAAGGGTTGGTTGAATTGTCGTTGGAAAATCTACTTTTTCCCTGACACCAAAAAATGCAAAATATTCTAATGTAAAATGTTCTGTTGATAGTGCTAATATATCTAATCAGTCTACTGCATCCAAAGGAAAGCATTCTGCTAAAAGGAAGGTTACGTTTGTCAGTTCTAATTCAGAAAACATCTCAAGATGATGAAGCATGTGATGAAATAAATGGTACCACTTTTCTTTTTGTTCATCAAGAATGGTGGCATCAACGCTTACTTATAACATATAGTGGTATTTGCCTCTTCAATGCAACATATAAAACAACCAAGTGCACCCTTCCTCTTTTTTGCTTTGCATTTGGTCCAACTGTGGGTACATCCCAGTAGCTGAATTTATCACTGAGCATTTAACAGTGACAGCAGATGCTGAAGCGTTGAAAATTTTATTGTCATGGAACCCAACTTGGGAGCCTCTATACTTCACAACTGAATTTAGTCAAAGTGAGCTAAATGACTGTTCCCTTGTGCTACTATATATACCTTTGTGAGTTTCATTGTCAACAAGCCTGGTCTAGATGGATTAGAAGTGGTTTGTTTGTGTACTTATGCATGTCAAGAGATGGGCAATTGTGATAAGGATTACCTAATTCATGTATAAACATACATTATTGTATTGTTGTATTGATGTTTTCATTATAGCAAAAAGTGGTCTTAGTGATTCTCAGCAAAAAGTCTATTGCATCTCCGAGATTTGGCGTTAAACCAGCTCAGATGTGTACAAAAGTCATCTACTGTTCAATGATACTTGTCTACTACTTGGCTTGGTTCAGTCTAGTCGCAACCTTGTCCGGTTATGCTCCGTTCTCGAGATTTATCTGCAATGATACTTCCACGCACAGCACACATTTTAAAGAAGCTGGGGAGCTAAAGTTTATATTATTAATTTTTTAATATAATAACAAAGAATAATGTAATGAAACTTCAAACAATAACTAACCTATGAATAAGCTATCTATAAATATTACACACGATTTGTAAAAGCAGCGCGGTGGGAAGATATTTCAAGAGAAACTATAGTAAGCAGCTGAACTGTTCTTGTCATTTATTTATCCATAGTACAAATTTGTCTTAAAGAATATAGGGTCAAGAGTTTGGTATTACCTAAAAGAAAAAGTTATAAAGCTCAAGAAAACAATAACGTAATTCTTGACTGGGCATAATTTAACCTTTAAAATTAAAAACTCATGAAAAGGAATAAAACTTATCTGTGCTTTATTACTAGAAAAGCATACATTGTTTATCTTGTATCCCAAATGGCTGAAGGACCACCAAAGCAGTGTCACGTATGTGGCAAGAGAGCTGATGACCGTAACTAGCTGGAAAGATGAATACCAGTCTTTTATTTTCCGTCATTTGCCAAACACAACTGATAACCAAAGTGCAGCAATATTTGTTTGTAAAAAAACATTACTTTGAAGCAAGTCAATACCATCATAAACCAAATTATGTTCCTAAATGGAAAGAAAATCATATTGAAAAGCCATTAATAAATTGCATGCATCCTCAATGCTAAAATAGATCAGGAAATAACAACATCATTAATGTCAGATTTACATCTAAGTCAAAAATTCAAGAAATTTTAGGCATTACATTGGAACATGGTAAAGTTTTGCATTGCAAAGATCATTATAATGAATGCTAAAGGTTGTACAATCCCACACATTGTGCCTCATGCAATGCTTGGCCAAAAACAGGCACAGCTTTCATAAATCACTGCCCTAATGATGATTTAATAGCAGCTTACCTCAAATCATGGTGTTGTGCTGATCTCAAATGACTTATGTAAGTCGTGCTATAACGCACACATTTCCATAATCAGGAACATTGAAACAGATCCTGAAATGGTAAAGACTAGATTAACTCAAATCATAAAAGTTTTGGAAGCAGAGATAACTAGTGATTCGACAACTCACCTAAAAAGAGCAGTTTTAAGTGCAGTTCTAGCTGTTGCCAGAAGCATTACACAAGACAAGGCTCTACTTGAGTGATGCTTGCAGAGTTTTTCTCAATGCCTTAATAGTGATAAATGCTTACATCGCTACTTCAGTCTATAATACAGATGTTGTTCTTGAAACAGAAAATGGTACCACCAAGTTCACTCCCTGTTGGCTTCTATATCAGTTGATCCTAATTTTGAAAAATCAACAAGTTTTAAATGCATACACAGAAAGTTTGGTTTAATATTGTACAAAACTGGTGCTGACCTTTTGACTTCCTTATCATGGGCTCTACAATCAAAGCAATGCCAAGATTCTTTTCAATACATGCATGACAATGAGCACTTAAATGAGCCACAAATACTAGATAAAAGTGCAAAAATTGTCAACAAATTAATTAACAAAGAAATTGGGCATCGTAATATAAATAAAGATCCATGCAATTTCAACATATGTCTGTTTATGGAGGATCAAGCCACACAGAGTCCATCAAATTACAGTAAATTAACAGCCCACATTACACAAACCCATCTTCTTTTCATCATATCTCTTTTAATGTTCATCACCAACCCACGAAAGCCAACAGCATTTCAGTCTTAACTGATATTGTTGAGACAGGTGGTGGTTCACGACAGCTAATAAGCATTCTGAATAGACTCGGATGTGTTTCTTCACCAGACACACATGACAAGTTTGTCAGCATGCATGCTACAGCATGCATGCTACAGCATGCATGCTAGTGGAAACAGGGAAAAAATGTTTGGACAGTACTTTCTCCTTCTGTTTTCACAATAGCCTCAGTTGATAACTTCAATATTCTTCAAAGCAATGCTGCTGTACACAGTGGCAATCAACATCAGTGCAGCTACCATGGAACTACAGTACAATTGGTGCAACCTGCAGTTCCCTAGTCACTGGTCTCACAAGTATCTAGAACTGAAACCACAAACCTCACAATATAAAACCATTGACAGTCACTCACAAGTGTCTCAGACTAAAACATTGAATGACACCACTGATAGTCACTCAACATCAACCATTTCAGAACCATCAAGCAACATTAATAATATTCAAACTAAAACTGTTACAAATGCTCGTCGTCCAGTAGCACAATCACCATCTTCTCACAAACAGGGTAAAACAGGGCCAAAGAGACCACGTACAGTAGCAGTGTCACAACTTCAAAGTAGACTCCCATTTCCAACACAAGACCCATCACTGTCAAATAAATCCATATCAGCATCTCACAATCAGTAACTTTGAACTGTCTCAACAAGAAAGTGAATCGCTAAACGACATGAAAATGAACATATTTAATTATATGCTATTGATTCACTGTTTCAAAGATGAATCGAGCACTTTAAGTGATTTGCGTAAATTTTTAAAACAGTACTCTATTACACAGCATCCATTCACTACTTAGAAATGATAAATGTGAATCTAGACAGTGAAGAGACTTATGTTACATGTATGTGAGGAACTGCTAGTTACTTTTAGCAATGGATCGCAACAGGATTAGGGTGTAGTAGTAGGTGATGGCAAAACGTATGAACATCTTACAAACATTAAACGTCATTATGGTGAGTCACTGAGGAAGCTTCTAATCTTTCCTGGGGACTGGCATACTCTCAAAACCTTTCAGAATGTACTTATGAAGGTATCACAGCTGGACTTCATGAAATAGCAAAAGCTAATGGCTACAACGGTGCTACTCTTCACTCCCTACAAACGTACAGTAACTTTAAGCGCACTCACCTTTTTTTACTACAAGTATGGGAAGCTTTTTACCATGTTCTCATTGAACCATTTGTAGTTGAGTTTAGCAAGCAAGCAGACATGGACAACATTCTGCAGATGATTAAAACAAGCATAGCTAACAACAGTGATCCAAATCAGTTGTTAGAAGATGCCAATCTGTTTACAGGACAAATTGCTCATAAATGTGACCATAATTGAAAAAGGTACCTTATGGCGGGTAGTGAAATTTGTCTTTCTAGCCTAAGAAATCCAACTTCCTGAGCCCCATTTAACATAAAATTACTCCACAGGATGCAAAAAGTTACCATGAAACTTTTAGAAACAATGATTGTCTAACAAAGCACTCACAGGTTGATATTTTCCATTATAACAATCAATTTTAAAATCCGCCATAAGGGCCCTTTTGTCAATTATGGTCACAAATTTTTTCGTTCACAGAGAAGCAAGGACAAATTTATTCCACTTGGAAGTTGTGGGAAGATTTCATCTTCAGAAATTGTTTTGCTTTTGTCACTCTTTTTCTAGCAATAAGAGGTTGCAACTTGACACTTTGCATTGGCAGTTTGAAAGAAATGACACCACTATTTGTTGCATTTGATCGTGACGTTTATGAACGAATCATACCAAATCATTTGGCAGATTTGCTTCTTGTTCCAACAGAAATTTTGTCTTTCCTTTTGTCCGGTGGATTACCGTGCACATTACTAGAGAACCATGGAGAGCTGTAGCTCTAGACAAAGCACATGAGATGTGCATCAACAAGGATTTGAAGAGTGCCATCACTTACCCAACTGAAGCCTACTTACAAAAGGCATTGTTATTTATGAATTATCGAGTTAAGTTAACTAAAAATTTCATGAATCAGTTATTTCCAGAAAAGGACATTATTAATATTGAACCAAAGGTTACAGATAACTCAATTGAATCTGTGAAACGAGAACAAGATGTTGTAAAAATGATTGAAACTATCACAAAAAATGATCTACTACCACGTAACTTAATAGAGGACAGAGGAATTGTTAACACCTTTAATGGAATGGTAGCTAGCAGGGAACAGCAGCACGACTTGCTGACATTCAGAGCAGTTGGAGAGGAAGCCACAAATCTTATAATATTACACACCAATTATTGAGGAAATCATTCCCTGCATCAACGACCATTAGATGAAAGAAACTACTGACAATATCTGCAATGAGTCAAACAAGAAGGAAGAAGTCAAACAAAGAGAAGGAAAATGAACAAATGATAAAATGTTTGCAGAGGAGATTGGTGTGGTGCACTCTCAGTGGCACGATCCTTAATCCAGCTAATGAGCAGTACTCTGTTTTTCCAAGGGCCATTTGTGATGACAATGAAGTGCCTCATAAAGCTCCTAAAAGTCACTGGACAGACAAACTGCAGAAAAGATACAAGAAGACACAGCATTAAGTTTTCACTAATGACTGACTGAATGAATGGCTTCAGCCTAATTACAGTGTCATTCTAGATGCCATGTTTTTGATACACACAAAGCCATTAAGAAGTACCAAAATCATAGCAGAATATCTCCAAATTATGTATAGCAGATTTGTAAAAGAACACTTTAGCTCTAGATCATCTCAAGTACACAGTTTTTGATACTCCACCTTTAGATGTAGGATTCAACCCAAAAATGGTCAAGCAACTACAAAAAGACACATCAGGAAGAAAGGTTCAAGAACATGCTCACTACTCTTTCACCTTAGATAGTGCACTCCCCAAAATGAAATGGCAGGATGTGATTAGTTGCAGAACATGCAAATACTCATTGGTAATTGCTCTTGGGGAGAGTGCATTGAAGAACGGCAACTTACTAAAGGAGGGACAAACACTAGTTATAGCAGGCTGCTTTGAAAATGGCATTGCATGGAAAGTTACAAGTAGCACCATTCCTCAACCAGAGCCCTGTTTCTTCAGTAATGCCAAGGAGGCAGATCAGAGGATTTGGAGGCATGCTGCTAACTGTGGCACAGCAAATGTACTATTGTATTTACCTGACACTGATGTTTACACAATTGGCATGTCTCTCTTCACAATGTATAATTCTAAGCAAGTCACTGTCCAGTTAAACCCCCCTAGTAGTCGCATGAAACGTTTCATTAATATTAACAACTTAATAAAAGCAATCAATGATGATTCAGATTTATCTGCAATACCAGAAACTGAAAGAACTACTGTTTTGATGTCTTTGTTTGTGTGCACAGAGATATTACATCATATTTTAGAAATATCGGAAAGGCTACTTTTCTCAAATTATTTTTTCAACACGCGTCATTTATTTCTGGAACAGAAATGCCAGGTTCATTAGCAAATATAGAATCTAGAGAAAGGGGTTTCTTGTCATTCATCAGGTTGATTGGTACAGCGTGTTTCAAAAAGCACCAGGCTTCTATGATCTCCAAGTATAATGTCAAAACACCTAGGCAATTATACAATTCTATCTCTTCATCTCTCTCAGATTACGAACATCACAAGGAATGGCTTGAAAAGATAACTAGCATTGTCAGTGAGCGCATACTTTCCGAAGATGAAAGACTACCATCTATTACATCTCTCTGGCGACACTGGATGCGCTCTACATACATCTGTCTCATGTGGGCAAACTCACCTTCATTAAATATTGAGAATGATCTACCCAATCCAGAAAACAGTGGTTGGAAACTCACAGAGGGGAAATATAGCATGGATGGGAAGACCCTGCTGAAATGAGAAAAGTAGAGGGATATATAAAGTATCTTTGACAAGGTTGTGCTTAGGGTGCTCAACTACAAGGTGTGGCTGCAAGAAAGCAGGAGACCGTTGTGGACCAGGATGCACATGTACCAATTGTACAAATCACGAGGCAAGTGATGACCATGTAGATCTTGTTCAGGGAATGGTATTGATAGTGTAAGTATAAGTGAGGGTGTTGATAGTACAGATAAAGAATACATGGAAACAGAAGTGATAACAGATGATTTTATTTATAATTATGACATTTAATTATCACAATTATTGTAAATGTAATTATCATTGTTATATTGTGATATTAATGTCAAACTATACGTGTATATGCATGTATATATATATATATATATATATTTTAATATACGACCCCGAGTTATCAATTGCAATCTTATAAGCCTAACTCAGCTACCATACTAATGCAATTTTATCTTAGTTAAACCTTTACGTACAAATAAGTCCTGGGTAATGGCCCAACAAAGTGTGTGATGTGTGGTACCTGGAAATATGCATGGTACAATTTCATCTTAGAAAAGAAACTAACTTGAAATATTTATTTTTACCATCTATGATACATGCACTATCATTATACAATACCTTCAGCTTTGCCTATCTCACTGCTTAACTGTTATGAAAAAGAATAAAAGAGCCAAAAGCAATCAACCACAGGCAAACTAGCCAAAACGTAAGTAAAAATTATAAAATCAAATATTTTACTTTTATAAATTTAAATAAACAGTTAAAAGAGTCTACATCAGTCAATATGAGGTAATAGCTGTCATACAGAGGAGTAAAAATGTTCTTCAAAGGAGCCTCATTACACTCCACCATTCAGGTGCCACACCCACTTCCTTGCAGATAAATTTTTAGATTTTCCGGGAGTTGCGACTCAACTGGGTTGCACCCCTGTAACTATATTCATAAATTATTGTTATAGTGGCAGGCATGGGGTAAAGCACTGAAGTGCTTGTGCTAAAAAGTGCTTATGCACTTTTTTGAAGTGCTTGAAGGTGCTAAGAAAGGTTGAGGTGCTTTGTGCTTATGCTTAAGCACATCTGTTTGAAGTGCTTCTGAAGCATTTTTTAAGGCATTAAGCACTTTCTAGCAAATGTATTGGTGTTGTGCTAAATAGACTTATTAATTAATATTGCATATTGTCAATGGTGCCACATGACATGCACATAGAACCAAATTTCCAGCTGAGTCATGTCAGCTGACTAATTTCAGCTGACTAATTCGGTAATTCCAGCTGACAAGTATCACTGAGTTGACTGACTGACACCGGCAGGCATCATGACAGAGGCAAAAAAGTTACCTAGTATATTAAACAATTATATATTGCCTGAAAGTTTGGATGGAACATTCAAGGCTAAATGTAAACACTGCAGTAAAGTGATCTTTGGGTGTAC